CACAGCTAGCATTTAATAACTCTAGCACTGCCCTACCGCGTACTCATTAACAGCTGAGTAGACTGGAACAAGTGAAGTAAATTATCTTGCTCAAAAGTAAAACATAATCTTATTGCTTGTGCAAAAAGAACTTTTCATAATCTATATTTACCAACCTGAAGAAAATGTTTAAAACTAACAATATTTACAAATCTTGATTAGTAAATGTATTCACGCTTAGTAATTTTACACATCCCAATGCTTGGGAAAATAAATCTGTTTTGTTGGTCTTTGGTAAAAAACATATTTAATAAGCACATTTTCATAGAAAATAAACAAAAAATGTATCTAGTTGCATATTAAATATGGCAATTATAAATGTCGTGTTTCCTACTATGTATCAGTGTTTGTAGCATGCATTTATAATCTATTTGTTTGATCAATGTGAAAGGTTTGATGGTTGGTGAACACAATCGCAAAAAATACAACTAATGAACACCTGATACATATTTAAATACCCTTAATGGTTTTTTAAAGGTTGTGACAACTAAATTTAATTCTGCTGGGTTTTTCTCTGCCAAAATCAATAGCATTATTGTAAAGACAAGGCTATGTCATACATATATAATGACAGATAAATCGATTAGGTGGAAATACCTGTTTTAATAGGAGACCCCAGCACATAACTGTTGTTATATAGGTGACTATCACGGAGCAATTTAGTGATTACTTCATAGACAAACAGGGCTGCACCCGCAAAACATTACACAGATCAGCATCATTAGGATTATTTATAAGAATGTAATTATGTGAGTGTGATTATTTGGAAAAATGTCGTTCTGATCCTTTGACAAGCATTGCTATTGCTGACAAGCTAACATTAACAGTTTGTGTAGTTTCCAAACTTTAGCAATTAGTGTTATCAAGCAGTTAAGACACACTGAACGTTCCGCAATCAGAGATGATTTAGTCGGACAGGGGCGGATGTCACGGTGGCTGATTCGCCCTTCACCGGACACGGCTGGGGTTTGTGCAGTAAATGGTTTACATTGTGTGGTTCTGCATCTGCAAACATAATTTTCAGAGGGTGCTTTATTTTTTCGGTTTTTTAGTGATGATTCTATCTATCTTATCGGAAGTGAACTTCATATTGAAAAAAAGTTCTACAACACCTAATCAATTGACTCTCTGCCATGACATATTTTGCAAATAAATACTTTACAATATATTTCTGTTGGACAAACAAGAACGATTCATTCTTTGGCAAGCACGTTTACTGGAAAACATCGATATAGAAATGTGGCAGATGAAGCTGAATCATACCCTTACGTGGAATTGTCTACTAGTTATCTTGACTTCATCGATCAATTTTTGTTCAACATATGTTTGATACATATATATATATGGAAGAAAAAATAATCGGACCTAAAACTGACCCCTGAGGTAAATAAGAATGCATGCATTTAAAATAAGAACACAGTCAGTTGTGAGAACACTGACCGACCTCAATTAGTAAGAGAAACCAATCGATCTTCATAATCACCTTCTTTTTTAACTATGTTAGTCCATCGTATCAGAGATTAACCCCTGGAGTGCCACAGAGCCTATTTATAGGCTATATGCTACTACCGTTGAGTGCCAGAGAGCCTATTTGTAGGCTCTCGGAAATCCGGCAGTTCAACAATAGCAATGACGTCATCAACTATTAAATAACGTCAGATTAGCTCGACGGAATAATAGCGGCTCGATTGTTTGCTCCGTGGTTAAGGCCTTATCCTCCTGGGAACTATGACTTCATACAACCATGTTTGGAACCTCTGTGACCAACCAATATGCCCCCAAGGAATTCGCCTTCAATTGCATATTTCTTGTTTTTTGCTTTTCCGTTAATTTATTCAGTACGGAAATGCGTTTTGGAAACAATGTATACCTTGATACAGTAATATGTTACATCACATAGAATATTCCCATACTGAAACTATCTCAATGTTTACAGTGATGTCGTCTTTGTGCGTATGTAGTTTTCTAAGTTCGTTCGGGTAGATACAAAGACTCAACATTACAGGTGTATGTTTTTTGTAGTTCATTGTAGCTAGTAATACACCAAGAAAAGGCTCAAATAAAGCTTACACTGTGTTGACATGTGTGAGTTCAAAGGAACAATCAAACTTTAACTGGTTTCTATGTAAACACGTCTAGCACACGTACATTGTAATGAACACTCAGTACACCAGGATACTCGTTTGACTACTCCCCCAACTACCCCACCTATCTCGACTAAATACTTACCACCTCCCCCATTCCCGCCCACCCGTCATTCCTCCTCCCCTTCCCACTACACCAACGATAACTGAGTGCAAGACACTCAAGTTCACCGTAAATCTGTGTGAACAGATCATGTGGCTGGGTTTTTTTGCTGATCTAGTACACGAGGTATTGAAGGAAAGAATAGAAGGACTACGATTGACCCATGCGACCGACATTTGATTCAACAGAAGGTATCGGGTTACATGCTGGACCGCGTGGGGTTTTCTCCAGGCACTGCGGATTCCTCACACATTAAGATCCCCTGCGCCCTTCTACCCGGACAAGCAAGTGTGACTAATTGAGTTACTGGTTCCACAATTGTACCAAAATAAATAAAGTTTATATTCATAAGCAAGTATTCGCAAATAAATCATACAAACATATATCGCGAAATGAAATTCACACGAAGGTGAAATGATTAACAGTAAAATAACAGTATCTAGTAAATATGTGGACCAAACACTACGCTCAGGATCCTTTGAACTCAGGTATATATATAGGCCGTCGCTATTACCACCCGAGTGTCAATAGCCTACCTAACATCCTACACCTAACAAATATCCTACACCTACCTAACATCCTACACCTACCTAACATCCTATGCCTACCTAACATCCTACACTATCCTAACACCTACCTAAGCTTCTATACCGACCTTACATCCTATGCCTACCTTACATCATATGCCTACCTAACATCCTACACCTACCTACATCCTATGCCTACCTAACATCATATACATAACATCCTACACCTATTTAGCATCCTACATCTACCTTACATCCCATGCCTACCTTACACCCTATACTTTACATCCTACACATGCCTACATCATATGCCTAGACCTAACATCATATACCTAACATCCTACACGTACTTAGCATCCTACATCTAACTTACATCCCACGCCTACCTTACATCCTACACCTACATAACCTCCTATACCTAACATCATTTTACTACCTAACATATACCTACCTAACATCCTACACCTACCTAACATCATATGCCTATATTACATCCTACGGCTACCTTACACCCTACACCCACCTAACATCCTGCACCTACCTAACATCCTACACTACCCTACTACTACCTAACATCCTACACTATCCTAACACCTACCTAAGATCCTATACCTACCTTAGATCATATGCCTACCTTACACCCTACACTTCATCTACCTAACATCCAATGCCTACCTAACATGATATGCTTACCTAACATCCTATACCTTCCTTACATCTTATGTCTACCTTACATCCTATGCCTACCTAACATCCTACACCTACCTATATCCTATGCCTACATAACATCATATACATAATATCCTACATCTACCTAGCATCCTATGCCTACCTAAAACCCTATACTTTACATCCTACACCTACCTACATCATATGCCTACCTAACATCATATACCTAACATCCTACACCTACTTAGCATCCTACATCTACCTTACATCCTATGCCTACATAACACCCTATACCTAACATCCTACACCTACCTTACATACACCTTCCTAACATCCTACACTTTCCTTACATCTTATGCCTACCTTAATCCTACGCCTATCTTACATCCTACGCCTACCTTACACCCTACACCACCTAACATCCTGCACCTACCTAACATCCTACACTATCCTACTACTACCTAACATCCTACACTATCCTAACCCCTACCTAAGATCTATACTTACCTTACATCCTATGACTTCCTAACATCCTACACTTACCTAACATCCTACACCTACCTAACATCCTATGCTTACCTAACAAAATTATATACCTAACATCCTACACCTACCTAACATCCTATGCCTACCTAACATCCTACACCTACCTTACATCCTTCACCTACCTAACATCCTACACTTACATAACATCCTTTTCCTACCTTACATCCTATGCCTACCTAACATTCTATGCCTACCTAACATCCTATACATAACACCCTACGCCTACCTAACATCATATCCACCCTCTTCATTCCTTGCAATCTAACCATCACATAATCTCTTACAAAATTCACTACACAGGAATTCATCTGACTCAGGTTCTACTGACTTACATCTTACATGGTACCATTCATCACAGGAATTGCATTTTATCATTTCACCGTCATAAGGACCTCGGCATATGCAGTATATTGCATGTGTCTTCTTTTTCACTTTTGTTCTTCTATTTGATGCTTTTGAAGGAAAAGGTGTGCATTTTGCATCTTCCAAACATTTTATTAGATGATCCCTCAGCTTGTCCTGTTGGAAGTTAAGCTCAATTGGATTTGATTTAAAACAAACTGCTGTCGCAAAAGCTATAGCAAATAGACCACATTCAGCACCTCCTACTTGTTGTTGCACTGGAACATGGTTAATAGTGATTTGGTTATCATCACATTTGATAATTGTACTAATTTGTTTCAATATTTCACTATTAGCAGTATTATTTAGACTGTCAAAAAGATAAATTGTTCCAATGTCGCATCCCACAGTTGAAATTGTCAACCAATGACCATACTTCGAACTACCTTGGAAAAGGATTTGTACCATATTATGTCATATTGTGTCAAATGTTTCTGGATTTTGAAAAAAAAAAACCTTTAAATTGGGAAACTGATTCTTCCCATAGCACGATCATCAAGAAGTGGTCCACTGATAATGGATTCTCTGGTATCATCGGTTGGACACTATATATAAGTAAAGGAAATAGAATCAAGACATCTCCAAAGCTAAAAAGCTTACAACGATGTATTTTACAGCGAAATCATCATAGAGCCTATAGATATCATTGCTGACCCAAAGAGAATGTTTGGTAGTTGGAAGTGCATCTTGCTTAAGAATATTTTCTTTCATATTTATAATGTGCTTTTTATTGATGAAGTTGCTACCTTCAGCATTTTTTCGTTTGACACTTTTCTTTATTTTGCTTGAAAATTCCCAAAATGGTTTTGTAGATCCTTTTGGCCTGCCTCTTCTGCATTTTATAGAACGTATCTTCAAAATATGGCAGTTATTCCAAATAGAAGGTTTCGGGGATACAGATGGTATGTATGTGTTAGCTGGTGCCTGTGGCATTGTTGGTGCTTGTTTGTGTGTGTGTGTGTAAGAGTTGGTGCTTATGGTAAAGTAGTTGGTGCTGGACTTGGTGCTGATGGTGGAGTTGGTGCTTGAGTTTTTGTGTTTGTTACAGTTGGTGATGGACTTAGTGCTGATGGTGGAGTTGGTGCTTGAGTTATTGTGTATGGTACAGTTGGTGCTGGACTTGGTGCTGATGGGGGAGTTGGTGCCTGAGTTTTTGTGTATTGTACAGTTGGTGCTTGACTTGGTGCTGATGGTGGAGTTGGTGCCTGAGTTTTTGTGTATGGTACAGTTGGTGCTTGACTTGGTGTTGATGGAGGAGTTGGTGCTTGAGTTTTTGTGTATGGGACAGTTGGTGCTTGACTTGGTGCTGATGGTGGAATTGGTGCTTGAGTTTTTGTGTATGGTACAGTTGGTGCTGGACTTGGTGCTGATGGTGGAGTTGGTGCTTGAGTTTTTGTGTTTGTTACAGTTGGTGATGGACTTAGTGCTGATGGTGGAGTTGGTGCTTGAGTTTTTGTGTATGGTACAGTTGGTGCGTAACTTGGTGCTGATGGTGGAGTTGGTGCTTGAGGTTTTGTGTATGGTACAGTTGGTGCTTGACTTGGTGTTGATGGTGGAGTTGGTGCCTGAGTTTTTGTGTATGGTACCGTTGGTGCTTGACTTGGTGTTGATGGTGGAGTTGGTGCCTGAGTTTTTGTGTATGGGACAGTTGGTGCTTGACTTGGTGCTGATGGTGGAATTGGTGCTTGAGTTTTTGTGTATGGTACAGTTGGTGCTTGACTTGGTGCTGATGGTTGAGTTGGTGCTTGAGTTTTTGTGTTTGGTACAGTTGGTGCTGGACTTGGTGCTGATGGTGGAGTTGGTGCTTGAGTTTTTGTGTATGGTACAGTTGGTGCTTGACTTGGTGCTGATGGTGGAGTTGGTGCTTGAGTTTTTGTGTATGGTACAGTTGGTGCTTGACTTGGTGCTGATGGTGGAGTTGGTGCTTGAGTTTTTGTGTATGGTACAGTTGGTGCTTGACTTGGTGCTGATGGTGGAGTTGGTGCTTGAGTTTTTGTGTATGGTACAGTTGGTGCTTGACTTGGTGCTGATGGTGGAGTTGGTGCTTGAGTTTTTGTGTATGGTACAGTTGGTGCTTGACTTGGTGCTGATGGTGGAGTTGGTGCTTGAGTTTTTGTGTATGGTACAGTTGGTGCTTGACTTGGTGCTGATGGTGGAGTTGGTGCTTGAGTTTTTGTGTATGGTACAGTTGGTGCTTGACTTGGTGCTGATGGTGGAGTTGGTGCTTGAGTTTTTGTGTATGGTACAGTTGGTGCTTGACTTGGTGCTGATGGTGGAGTTGGTGCTTGAGTTTTTGTGTATGGTACAGTTGGTGCTTGACTTGGTGCTGATGGTGGAGTTGGTGCTTGAGTTTTTGTGTATGGTACAGTTGGTGCTTGACTTGGTGCTGATGGTGGAGTTGGTGCTTGAGTTTTTGTGTATGGTACAGTTGGTGCTTGACTTGGTGCTGATGGTGGAGTTGGTGCTTGAGTTTTTGTGTATGGTACAGTTGGTGCTTGACTTGGTGCTGATGGTGGAGTTGGTGCTTGAGTTTTTGTGTATGGTACAGTTGGTGCTTGACTTGGTGCTGATGGTGGAGTTGGTGCTTGAGTTTTTGTGTATGGTACAGTTGGTGCTTGACTTGGTGCTGATGGTGGAGTTGGTGCTTGAGTTTTTGTGTATGGTACAGTTGGTGCTTGACTTGGTGCTGATGGTGGAGTTGGTGCTTGAGTTTTTGTGTATGGTACAGTTGGTGCTTGACTTGGTGCTGATGGTGGAGTTGGTGCTTGAGTTTTTGTGTATGGTACAGTTGGTGCTTGACTTGGTGCTGATGGTGGAGTTGGTGCTTGAGTTTTTGTGTATGGTACAGTTGGTGCTTGACTTGGTGCTGATGGTGGAGTTGGTGCTTGAGTTTTTGTGTATGGTACAGTTGGTGCTTGACTTGGTGCTGATGGTGGAGTTGGTGCTTGAGTTTTTGTGTATGGTACAGTTGGTGCTTGACTTGGTGCTGATGGTGGAGTTGGTGCTTGAGTTTTTGTGTATGGTACAGTTGGTGCTTGACTTGGTGCTGATGGTGGAGTTGGTGCTTGAGTTTTTGTGTATGGTACAGTTGGTGCTTGACTTGGTGCTGATGGTGGAGTTGGTGCTTGAGTTTTTGTGTATGGTACAGTTGGTGCTTGACTTGGTGCTGATGGTGGAGTTGGTGCTTGAGTTTTTGTGTATGGTACAGTTGGTGCTTGACTTGGTGCTGATGGTGGAGTTGGTGCTTGAGTTTTTGTGTATGGTACAGTTGGTGCTTGACTTGGTGCTGATGGTGGAGTTGGTGCTTGAGTTTTTGTGTATGGTACAGTTGGTGCTTGACTTGGTGCTGATGGTGGAGTTGGTGCTTGAGTTTTTGTGTATGGTACAGTTGGTGCTTGACTTGGTGCTGATGGTGGAGTTGGTGCCTGAGTTTTTGTGTATGGTACAGTTGGTGCTTGACTTGGTGCTGATGGTGGAGTTGGTGCTTGAGTTTTTGTGTATGGTACAGTTGGTGCTTGACTTGGTGTTGATGGTGGAGTTGGTGCTTGAGTTTTTGTGTTTGGTACAGTTGGTGCTGGACTTAGTGCTGATGGTGAGTTGGTGCTTGAGTTTTTGTGTATGGTACAGTTGGTGCCTGACTTGGTGCTGATGATGTGGTGCTTGAGTTTTTGTGTATGGTACAGTTGGTGCCTGACTTGGTGCTGGTGGTGGAGTTGATGCTTGTGTTGGTGCTTGTGTTTTTGTGTATTGTACAGTGTATGGTACAGTTGGTGCTGGACTTGGTGCTGATGGTGGAGTGGGTGCCTGAGTTTTTGTGTATGGTACCGTTGGTGCTTGACTTGGTGCTGGTGGTGGAGTTGATGCTTGAGTTGGGGCTTGTGTTTTTGTGTATGTTGGTGCTTGAGTTTTTGTGTTTGGTACAGTTGGGGCTTGACTTGGTGTTGATGGTGAAGTTGGTGCTTGAGTTTTTGTGCATTGTACAGTTGGTGCTTGACTTCGTGCTGATGGTGGAGTTGGTGCTAGAGTTTTTGTGTATGGTACAGTTGTTGCTGGACTTGGTGTTGATGGTGGAGTTGGTGCTTGGGTTTTTGTGTATGGTACAGTTGGTGCTGGATTTGGTGCTGATGGTTGAGTTGGTGCTTGTGTTTTTGTGTATTGTACAAGATGGTGCTTGACTTGGTGCTGATGGCGGAGTTGGTGCCAGAGTTGAAGCTTGTGGTTGAGCTGGTGGTTGTGGTAAAGTAGTTGGTGCTGATGGTGGAGTTGGAGCTTGAGTTTTTGTGTATGGTACAATTGGTGCTTGACTTGGTGTTGATGGTGGGGTTGGTGCTTGGGTTTTTGTGTATGGTACAGTTGGTCCTGGACTTGGTGTTGATGGTGAAGTTGGTGCCTGAGTCTTTGCGTTTCGTACAGTTGGTCCTTGACTTGCTGCTGATGGTGGAGTTGGTGCTAGAGTTTTTGTGTATGGTACAGGTGGTGCCTGACTTGGTGCTGATGGTGGAGTGGGTGCCTGAGTTTTTGTGTATGGTACAGTTGGTGCTGGATTTGGTGCTGATGGTTGAGTTGGTGCTTGTGTTTTTGTGTATTGTACAGTGTATGGTACAGTTGGTGCTGGACTTGGTGCTGATGGTGAGTTGGTGCTTGAGGTTTTGTGTATGGTACAGTTGGTCCTTGACTTGCTGCTGATGGTGGAGTTGGTGCTAGAGTTTTTGTGTATGGTACAGTTGGTCCTTGACTTGCTGCTGATGGTGGAGTTGGTGCCTGAGCTTTTGTGTATGGTACAGTTGGTGCTTGACTTTGTGTTGATGGTGGAGTTGGTGCTTGGGTTTTTGTGTTTGGTACAGTTGGTGCTTGACTTTGTGTTGATGGTGGAGTTGGTGCTTGGGTTTTTGTGTTTGGTACATTTGGTGCTGGACTTAGTGCTGATGGTGAGTTGGGGCTTGGGTTTTTGTGTATGGTACAGTTGGTGCCTGACTTGGTGCTGATGATGTGGTGCTTGAGTTTTTGTGTATGGTCCAGTTGGTGCTTGACTTGGTGCTGATGGCGGAGTTGGTGCCTGAGTTGAAGCTTGTGGTTGAGCTGGTGTTTGTGGTAAAGTAGTTGGTGCTGGTGGTGGAGTTGATGCTTGAGTTGGTGCTTGTGTTTTTGTGTATTGTACAGTTGGTGCTTGACTTGGTACTTGTGGAGGAGATAATGCTTTTGTTTTTGTGTGTAGCACAGTTGTTTCTTGGTTTGGTGCCGGTGATGGAGTTGGTGTGTGTATAGTTGGTAGAGTTGTTGTATGTGGGTCAGTAGTCACATGTGGCTGAGTAGATGTGTGTGCTTGTGTTGGTAAGGGTAATGTCTGTGAACTATTTCCCCATGATGTTTTTAGATCATTTGAAAAACGAAAAAAATATCAGCTATACTGAATTTCTGTTTTTCATTCAACACTTGTGCAGACTTTTCTCTGCGTGTCATTAGTCATGAACTCCTATTAATATTGCTTTATTTGGTGTGGATAGTTGTTTTTTCTTTTTTCATCTATCTGGAACCATATGAGGAATTACATGTATATTTGAAGCTTTATGCTGATGACACTATACTAATTAATATCAGACACGACAGAGGATTTGCAAAAGCTATCAGCTATACTAAGATCATGGTATTTGATAGAAAAAAGAATTCCTGATGACTTTACTTTTACATATAACGTACTGTTATAGGAATAGCTAGGGATTTCAAACATCTTGGCGTTTATTTTTCTAAAACTGGTTGGACACAATTTAATATTAAACAACTGGATGATAGGGGTGTAAGAGCAATGTATGGTGCCATTTCCAAATGTAGGGATCATAATTTTTTCAATAGATTGTCAACCAGACGTATTTGAAAAAAACATCAAATCTTTAGTTTTATATGGATGTGAAGTTTGGGGTTCCTCTAACTATAAGCTTACATCTAATAGTCAAGAGTTTACAAGCATACATTGGCTAAAGAGTATCATATTTTATAAATGGAAAGGAAAATTTATATCAAAATGGAGAAATGAAATTTGTACTTCCCCGAGAGGAATCAATTATAGAATGTTTAAGTACAAACTTTGTTTATTAAAGTCCTTATTAGAACTACCTCTGAAACTAGCCAAATTTAGAACATGTACTACTAAGTTAGCAATTGAAAGTGGTAGGTGGTCCAATATAGCACGTGAAAACAGATGATGTAATGTATGTAGTTTAAGAGAAATTTGCGACGACCAATACTCAATAGTAGACACAAACACATGTCCAGGTATTATTATGAAAGACCAAACATTTAAATTTCATACATTATTCAATTATGTAACACAACATAAATTTATATCATTGGCTTAATTTATTACCGATATTAATGAGTTAATTAATTTACAATACTAATATCCATCCTGTTCCACCATGTATTATTGTCACCCACTTGTATATATGCATTCTCTACACTGTACTGTTTGTGAGAATAAAACAATTGTCATTGTCATTACCAAACATTCCCGTTCATAAACAAAAGGGCTATCATTCCCTTTATTTATGCAGTTTTAATGTCTTACACCTATAAATAATTACAACCAAATTACATGTGATTACAATTTTGGTTGGTCAATAAGTGTGTTACTGTGCTTGCCCAATTGAGAATGATCATGAAACTATATCTGATGTCATTGATGGCATGTGTACATGTACACAAATCTTAATAACACAATATCACTTCAACAGACATAGTGTCATGCCTTTAATTCTTAATCAAGTCATCACTTGAATAGACGAATCTTCAAGGAAAATAATATATGCACAACAATCATTTTTAATTGAGTAATTAATCTATTAACTTGGTTAATTTGACCTGTTTATTGAAGATTGTTATAAGTTTTAAATTTGTTTGGGAGAAAGGAAATATTTCAGCTGGTATATTGCCTCTTTCATTATTTGATAAAAGTTGAAATCGAAACATTTAAACTCATTTCAGACTAAATATTGACCTGTTAATTATGAAAATGTATTAATTTGTATATGAGGAATATCTTGCTATTATGCTTTTTTCGGAAGGAATATGCTGAAATTTGAAAACAAAATCAATATTTTTCAGAATACGCTTGTTCAATACATGAAGATTTACCCATATTACACTGTTTTACTGGCATATAAAGTCATAGAAGATAACCAAAATAACTTCCTGAGAAGAAATATTTAAATTTGAGACTTTTTGTAAATTCCTCTGTATTAGATGGAATCTTGCCACTTGCAATACTTAGCAACACCTGAATTGTGACATATGTCAACTAGTTTCAGACTTAATATTTGGCTGTTCAGCAAGAAAAGTGTTAAATTGGAGGATACATTTGAAGATTTTGTTCCTTTGGGAATGTTTTTTTTTTTCAAGTTAGGCTTAGGGGTAAATGCTGAAAACTGCAGAATTACACTACTGCACTGGTTTTTAATAGAAGAAAATTATGAAAGATGACCAAGATAACTTTTGAAGAGAAATCTAAATTGATTTTCAGGTCACCTGAGTCACTACTCATGGAATTTTATTTTATTGGGGATATTTTGTTGATTTTCAATGGGAAATACTATTCCCCATTATTTTTTTTATTTATTTTTTTTAACTTTTTCAATATTATTTTATGTTATAACTAATGTTTACTATCTCTTTTGAAATGTAGGTCACTCCTCAACTTAATTTTGTAAAAGTCAATCCACAGTCAGAAGACGTTTTTTTTGGTAACATGTAATTTAACTCAGGTGAATGGCCCTTTTGTGAATCAGATATATAAAAAAAACATCTGAAAAACTGTAAGTACCCATACAAATACACTATTTTGAAGAAAAAAACATGCCAATGAGTTATATATCTCAATGAAGCAATTTGTGAGTTTTCCATTTCCCGTTGCTGACAAGTGCATCACGACCGGTCAACAACAAGGTGATACTAATTCATATATTTATAGGTGATGTAATGAGTTCAATTGTCTCAAATAGACATTGGCAAACAGTGAACATTGTATACTGATAGCAACTTGTATGTATTACAAAACCAAACGAATGCACTTTGAAACCTCGGGAAAGTCGACAGCAATCAAAAACGCTCAGTTTTCCATGTGTTGGTTACTTTGCATTATCGCTCAAATTTTATAGAAACAAATACTGAAATGTCTCACTTATACAGATAATTGTTTTTAACATTAGCTTTAAATCATATCACGACAACTACGCAGTACAATACATGTCCCGTACACCGGCAGTCCTCGCACTCGGCCTTTCCGCACAACAACCACGTACGAATCATTATCTGTACTACTGAGCTAAACACGTTTAATAAAGTGCATATACCGGTACACTTTGTTAAAATTGGTAACTTATCATCCATTCCCGTAATATTAATAACTAATTAGTATCGTGCAAAGCTTATTTTCTCGTTGTTAGCCCTATCCGGATACACACCACCGTCAACACACTATTACTCACGCCACATAAAAACTTTCCGGAACCGCTACCCGGCACACCATTTTTTCGTTATCTAGCCCGAGTGTCATACAATCTCCTCTAACACACATACACAGTGGACACGAAGCTCCATGTATGGAGATCATGTTATGTATTCCCTAGTAGATATGTTGCGAGCATGACCTGGTGTTGGATGGCAAAACCATTGCCGTGAAATCAAACCCAAAACTGGTAGAGAAACTCCAGAACTTTTGCTTGGAAAAAGGCAATTTTCTTATTTAATAAAATGTTTTAGAAATAGAGGTAAACAAGATAGAATCATTTTTTTATATCTATAGTGCATCCAATACTCTCGTTGGCTTGCGAGACTGTTAATCTGGAGCCTGATCAAAGACTAGCTAATGCATATTAATTTAACTAGACAGGGTGAACAACTTATACGGTTCTATGAGGACTTGTACGTCTTCCACTCTTTGAAAATTTCAAATTAAATGAAAAAGTTCGAGTTCCTGAAGTGCTCATATCAAGTTCCTACCATGCGATGTACATGTATGAACGGGAAGTTATCGGTTATACATGTACTATTGAAACGTACACAAACATACCCACAAAACATCCCCACCCCCCACAAATTCATACATTTCGTCAAACGTGTGAACATGCTATTTAAACGACACTTCACACCATCTCAGAATCTCACCATAAAGGAATCATTAGTAAGTAAAAAGAATAGAACTGAAATTACTCAGTATATCCCTTCAAAACACAGCAAGTTCGGGCAAACATTTGGATGTTGGCGGAGTCTGTTACAGGCTACGTTCTCCATATAACCGTGTACAGGGGTCGCAGATATGATCTTGTCCCTACTGGACAAACGAAGAGGTCTTCTGCTGTGTTTGCGTTATTGAAAGCGAAGGGGTTGCTGAGCAAAGGCTTCGATTTAGTAACTTTTTTCCTTCAAAAGATCTGGCAAAAAGACTATTTCAGGTTGGAACGAACTTTACTGGCACTTTACTTGCGAATAGCAGAGAACCAAACACAATTAGAACATCAAGTATCAACGCCGGCCAAACTGTCTACATGAGACAAAGAAACATCTTACTATATGCGCATATAAAGAACGTCCAAACAGGAATGCCGTTCGTCTTGTATCAATCTGCATTGAAGCAAAAGATGGAAGACGGAAACCGGACATTGTCAAGTTCTACAACAAAAATATGGACGGTGTTGACTTGAATGACATGCTGACTCCAACGTATGACGACAACCGCAAATCCCTTAAATTGTGGTAAAAGATCGTGTTCAACGTCATCAATAGGATGTTGTTTTAAAATGCTTACATATGTTATTCCCAAAATACAGATCCGAATCAAAAGTTGAGCCGGACGGCACACATTTAGGTTATCGTGGACAGCCTATGTAGTGATCAGTTGGAGAACGACAACCTGATATAATCTACGAACATAGCAGCGAAAACAATATTCATATATATATACGTCCCGTTATACTTGGCAATTTATTTAAATTTATGTAAATAATAACTACACGTACATGTCATACACGTACTTACATTATTCTTAAGTTTATCTGTTACAGGTTGATAACTTCATTTAAAATATAATCAAATTGTATAACACGATTTAATAAGTAGGGCCGTTTCAACTAGGACCGTTTTTACATTAGGGCCGTTTTCACCAGGGCCGTTGATTCCTCATGTCAGGGGCAAGGGGTGGCGCCGTGCGAGTACGGCATGTTCTATGTGTTTCCGTGGGGTACATGTGCTGTGTCTTGCAAGACACAGATGCTCGTGAAGATTAAATAAATATACAATTACTATGCATGTTTTCTGGTTTTCAGTTTGGACAAATTGGTACATGAAAAGCGAAAGAAAAATTCGTTATTTACAACATTAATAGCATTCCATTTGAGCGCTTTTGTAATAATACGAAAAATTTGACAAATGATACATGACAATACATGTTACGTATGCTTTCATTGGTTGTACATAGGCACATTTACCAACGTACAACGTTAAAAAAAAATAATGACGTGACGTCATCGCTTGGCCCATTGTTCAATCGATCTACGTCATATATTTTCAAATCACATTCTGATCAGAATTTGGCTTGGCACTCTCTAAGGAGATTCCTGTGGCACTCAGTACTAAGTATGTTGTAACACAAATAATTGTATCCGGAATAAGATCCATCAGTTAATTCATAATTTTATTTGAATTTAACGGGAAAATCAGAAAGATCATGTATGAAACTTGATAACGTTCTAAAGGAATATATATGTCTGGTTGCGTTAGACTCTTTGGTGTTTAACAGTATTATCAAATCAGCATGTAAAATTATCTTCTTAGCTGTTGGATTAATCAACTTATATAGTGAACCAGTGTTTGCTTTACTGCATACTACAAAGCAACATTATTTTATTGGTCAGTATTTTCTGTAACCTAGGTTGAATTAGATTATAGAAATATAATAATAATAATAATAATAATAATAATAATATACAACATTTATATAGCGCCCTATTTAATTATAAATTTACTCTAAAGAGCTTTACAACATATGGATAATAATAATGGTTATAATTGTGAAAACAAAAAACAATGGCTTACAATCACTTTATACATTTAAGCAAGCAATGTGCACACAATTGAACAAGTAAAAGGGTGGTATTTACATAACGTCTTAGCAAGGATTCTAACACGCAGACTTGAAGAGGTGAGTTTTGATGTCCCTCTTGATTTTGGCCAGGGTATTTTACTTTCTAATAGCAGATGGTAAGCTATTCCACAGTATGTATGTACAATTGTATCATCTTCTCTGTCCTTTGTTTCTTTACACGGATATGAACGAAAAGATTCACATCATTAATATAAACAAGAGTACCGCGGGGCGGAACAAAATACGCCCGTCGAATGCCATATAGTGTTATATACTTTCTTACATTGAAATAAATCTGCATCATTCTAAGAGTGGTAAGCTGACATGCTATAAAAAATGTAGGAGAAAATCTTCGAACAAAAAATCAAATACAGAAAGGAAAAAAGGGCAATACATTTTGAAAACATCGTCGAATCAAAATTCTTTTAAGGGAGACACAACTTCATATCATGATTATAATGTATACCAAGTTTCAAAGAGATCGGTCGAAAAATGTAGGAGGAGATTGCCGGACAAACAAAGTTTACGCCGGACGGGCGGACGAACGGACCGACGGACAACGACATACCATAATACTACCGTCAAATTTGACGGTCGTATACAAATTTAATCATTAGTATAACTATTTAATCAATTATCAAAATTACAAAAATGTTTGTTCAGCAGGAATTGCTGGGACCTTGTGGAGTGGTCAGCTGTCCTTCCGATTCGGAATGTGTGCCATTGCTAAATGGGCCGCCAGTTTGTATCATCAGCGGTAAATATATGCTCATATAGCGATACGTAGTTTTTAATGTGACGGTAAACTCCAGCACGATTGGGCCGGGAATCCTCTGCAGCCTACTTCCACAGGAAAGTTCCATGTCTGCCAGCCTTTTCTGCAACACTCCTCTGTCAGCTCCGCATACTTGCTCTTCTTCCGTTCGTGCGCTGATTCACACCTTGTCTCCCACGGCACAGTCAGTTCCACTATCACCAGTTTCTTCTTGCTGGGTGATAACAACACTATGTCTGGTCGTAGCGTTGTCTCAAGGATCTCCAGAAAAAATAATTTCCTCCCTCCAAGATCCAGACGTATTTCCCAGTCTCCTGCACCTCCACGAATACCCAGGTTGGCAGTCCTTGCTGTTCCCGATGGTGTCTGTCCCTCTCTGTGGAACCGAATGGACGTTGGTTCCCCTTTGTGTTCCATGTGGTTTCTTCTTCCTTTCCCTCTCAAGTGTGTGAGCAAGTTGCCCTAACACCTGGTCATGTCTCCAAGTGTATCAGCCCTGTGCCAGCGCTACCTCACAGGAAGACAGAATGTGTTCCAGATTTCCAGGTCTTCCACATTGGTGACATGTGGGATCTTCCACCAATCCCCATCTGTAAAGATGTGTCTGTGTTCGAAGCACATTATAAACAGCCCTGAGAATGAACTGTAGCTGTCATGGTGTGTATCTCCAGATCTCTGTCCATGTCTCCCTCTCTTCCGTCTCCCATCGGGTCCATGCCCCTTGACTCCCCATCTCCACTGCTTTCACCTTCCTTGCTTCCTCTTCCTGCTGCCTGATCTCTCCATGCACTTGCTTTCTCCTCTCTGCTGCATTACCATATTTCTATCTCGCCGACTGCCCTCTTCCTAATCCTTGCCTTCCGCTGCACACTGTCTCCACAATGTCCTTGTGCCGGAGTCTGTTCTCTGCCTCTGTAACTGCCCTGCTGGCTGACCACTTCCTTCCGGTTTTCACCCCCACTCCTGCTTTCCTGACTTTCTCGTCAATGGAGTCTTTCAATGTCATGATCAGTCGTGCCTTTCCAGTCTTGCATTGTTCCACTACTGATGTTAGTGGGAGCTGCAGTTTGGATGTCCGACTATACAGTCCAGTTGACGAAAAGCACTGAGGAACTCCATTTTCCTTTCGATTCCCTCTACAGTCGTTAGGGTAATCTCGTACAGCGGCCAGGACAGTCGTTGCAGTAGACCATGTTGGAATATCCATGCCTTGAACTTTCCTGGCAGACCTGTCTTGTCGATGTTCCTCAATCCTTCACAAACCTGCTGCTCTAGCTCTACTGCGAGTTCTACTCCTTCGGAACAAAGCAGCCATCTGCAGCCTGCCAACATGGTGGAATTCCTTCTTTCCTCCAGACTACCTTTATTTTTCCCATAGCCTGCGTAGAAGTGTGGGACACTTTTTATACACCTTATATGGGATGCCGTTTGGTCCTGGTGCTGTTGCTGCCCTTGCTTTCTTCACAACCTCTGTTACCTCTTTCCAGGTTGGTTCCCTTATTTCCATCGGCTTGTCTGGTTGGTTCATTGGCTGGATTCTTTCATTTGGTCCCAAGGGTGCATTCCGTTCCTCATCCCCATGAGTTGCTTTCAGATGTTCTTCTACCTCTTCCTTTTGACACTGCAGTCTCCCTGATCTTCTCCCTTCCAATACTGTTGCTGTGAACTTGTATTGGTTTGATATAAATGCCGACCTTTTCTTGGTCTTCTCTCCCAGCGCTTTCTTAATCCGCTCCGCTTTCCTCAACTCTTTCAGCCGCTCCCTCAAATGGACCCTCAACTGACTCAGCCCTGCTTTCTCCTCGTCTGTTGACCTTCTGTAACGTTGGCCCAGATTTCCCAGTTCTCCTCAGATCCGTTGTATTTCTTTCTCTCTTCTATTATGTAATGCAACTTGATCATGTGATGGCAAACCTTTGACCTCCAATTCCCCGAATCGCTCTTTCCTGATAGTATACACTAGTCTGGCCATTGCCTCTATCTTCCGTTCTACACTGCCAATCAATGATGTTTCCAGGATCTTCTCCAGATCCTCATCAAATACATCCCACTCCTTACTGTCCAATGCTGACCATTTCACCTTGCTAGGTCTCTGCTGCGGGAGATCCTGCTGTACGGGCGTTGGATCATCCTCAGCTTGTTGTGTAGTGTCGTCGAGCAATTCCACTGGGGCGTGGAGGACCTCGGTACTGTGGTGGGCTTCCTGACCCTGATCCTCCTGCGTCTCACCAGTTTCCACTGTGCGCTGCATCGACGTCTCTGCTGTCTTACCCTTCACTCTTGCTAGTTGGATTTGCAGAACATTACCTTCCTATTTTGGATGTCTTAATTTTCTGCAAAACCCGTCCAAATGCGACTTGCATGAACCAAACGACAACAACAAGATGGCGGCTATCGTATCGGTGGGAATGGTTGCTAACACTGACGTCACGGAACCCATGATCATGTGACCAAAGATGCAGACTGCAGTTACATTCTAATAACTGCAGGCTGACTTTCCTAAGAGTTAATGGAAAATGGGAATGGCATATGTAAATATTTTAGTATTAACACATCTTTGAGAGTATAATCTCGGAAATATACTACATCTTTTGGTTTATTCACATTTAATGCATAAATTACAAATTATACAGCAAAACATTGACGATTAAAGAATATGCATATAGTTTAATAGTTAAACATTTAACAGTAACAACAATATCTATAACACTGTGATATAAATCATAGATCAAAACGTTAAACAGAGATTGTATTTAACAGGCTGCTCCACACTTCCCGGAACTATTTCGGACGCCTCGTTCACCGCGGTAAAGACAGTTCACAGACAGTCTGACACCATATCTTACCAATGCGATGGGGGCCTTTCTATCTCAGGAAATCCAAATGTCACGTGTGCGGCTAGTGGGGAATGGACACAACCGGGTTTCTCCTGTCAAGGTAAGTAACACGGACATTGTTTAATGTACGAAAATGATCAATCATCATTTGATGAAACGAGGATCGACTTTTCAATTGAAAACATTTTTAAGCTGAGCGTTGTAAGGGTTAAGGATGTTTGCAACCTTACACAGTGTACCTGTGCTTTGCATTAGGGTATAGAATACATGCTTACTGACACATCAAAAGTGTTCTGTGTAAGAGTTTATAATATATGTTACTCTATGCTTTATAACTATGATTTGTGTTAAGGTTTAGAATGTATGCTACCCTACACAGTTTAAATCTGATTTGTGTTAGGGTAAAGAATATATATATCACCCTGCAAATTATAAATGTGATTTGTCTAAGAGTAAAAAATGCATGCTACCCTACATAGTATAACTGTGATTTCGCCTTAGAATACATACTATCCTACATATCATAACTCTGCTTTGGCGTAGGAGTATATGCTACCCTACACATCATGCTACTCTAAGCGTTATACATATAAATGTGATTTGGTCTAGGAATATATGCTGCCCTACACGTTATAACGGTGATTAGGCCTAGGAATAAATGCTTCCCTACACATAATACTGTGATTTGGTCTAGGAATATATGCAACCAAACACATTATTACTGTGATTTGGTTTAGGAATATATGCTACCCTACACACTATAGCTGTGATTATGCCTAGTAAAATAGGCTATCCTAAACATTATACACATAGCTGTGATAAGTTCTAGGAATATATGCTGCCCTATACACAGTATACCTGTGATAAATTAAAAACTACTATAATATCAGTGTGTTATTCGGATATGCTCCCCATCGCTATTAACAGCCGGTATATAACTGTCTGTCGTTTGAATATGAATGCATATTCCAGTAAGGTACAGGCATATATCCTAAAGTTTCAATTCCACACAGTAGGGTAGTTTATTAAGTGAAGTTCCTTTAGTGTCATAATAAAAAGAAAAATGTATACATGTACTTAAAGGATAAAAATTAACATTTTTCGTACCTTTGATGCAAAACTATATGATGTTTCGTAAGACGATTACTGAGGCTTGTACATTACTTTGGCATCGATATAAGCCGAGTATGCCTTAACTTCGACAGACACATCAATTATATTTATTCATTGTCCATTAATAAATAAGTTGATGTTTCCATGTCATTTTTGTTTATAAAGGATGCCCATCGGAAGCTCCAAGCCTTGAAAATGGCGTGGTAACGGCAGGTAGCGCAACCATTGGAACAGTACGCACATATACATGTAGCAGTGGATACACTTCCGGTGGAAGTAACATCACAACCACGTGCTCTAGTAGTGTTACATGGTCTTCAGTGGTCGGCACGTGCTCAGCAGGTTTGTTTCAGTGAAAAGAAAAAAAATAAGTATTTAAACGATGTTTGGGGTCTATTTTATTTAAGTCATATTTGCAGCAACCTCGATTGCTATCCATGGAATATGTTCAACTGATTAATTAGGTGCTACAGACACTTGAATTCCTCATTCATTGATGTGAGTATATCGTTATTTCACGAATTGAATTAAATTCATCTTAATCAATTTCTAGCTATGAGTTACACATTTTGTTTTGTTATTAGTTGACTGTGGACCGCCACCCTCGTTATCTGGTGGAAGTGTTGACAGTTTGACCACCACTACCTACCCAGTATCACGGAGTTACACGTGTAACACAGGTTATACTCCAAACACTGGCAGTGGTACCATATCCTGTCAGGCGCCGGGTACCTGGTCATCACCTGGTCTCACCTGTACAATCAGCGGTATGTATAGATAGTACATAAGTACATATAACCATCACTCACCTGTAAAATCGAAGTTTGTATAAATAGTATATGGTATATATACCAGTACTCACCTGTACAATCGTAGGTATGCATAAATATTATATGGTTCATATAACCAGCACACATCTGTATAATCGAAGGTAGGTATAAATATTATATGGTACATATAACGAGCACTCACCTGTACAATCGTAGGTATGTATACATAGTATATGGTACATATAACCAGCACTCACCTGTACAATCGTAGATACGCATGCATACATTTTATATGGTACATATAACCAGCACTCACCCGTACAATCGTAGATACGCATGCATACATATTATATAGTACATATAACCAGTACTCAACTGTACAATCGTAGATACGCATGCATACATATTATATGGTACATATAACCAGCACTCACTTGTACAATGGAAGGTATGTATACATATTATATGGTACATATAACCAGCACTCACCTGTACAATCGTAGATACGCACGCATACATATTATATGGTACATATAACCAGCACTCACCTGTACAATCATAGATACGCATGCATACATATTATATGATACATATAACCAGCACTCACCTGTATAATTATAGGTATGTATACATATTAGATGGTACATATAACCAGTACTCACCTGTACAATCGAAGATACGCATGCATACATATTATATGGGACATATAACCAGCACTCACCTGTACAATCATAGATATGCATGCATACATATTATATGATACATATAACCAACACACACCTGTACAATCGTAGTATGTATACATAGTATATGGTACATATAACCAGCACTCACCTCTACAATCGTAGATACGCACGCATACATATTGTATGGTACATATAACCAGCACTCACCTGTAGAATGGTAGGTATGTATACATATTATATGGAACATATAACCAGCACTCACCTGTAGAATGGGAGGTATGTATACATATGATCTGGTACATATAACCAGCATTCACATGTACAATCGTAGATACACATGCATACATATTATATGGTACATATAACCAGTACTCACCTGTACAATCGTAGGTATGTATACATATTATATGGTACATATAACCAGTACTCACCTCTACAATCGTAGTTATGTATACATATTATATGGTACATATAACCAGCACTCACCTGTACAATCGGAGATACGCATGCATACATATTATATGGTACATATAACCAGCACTCACCTGTACAATCGTAGATACGCATGCATATATATTATATAGTACATATAACCAGCACTCACCTGTACAATCGTAGATACGCATGCATACATATTATATAGTACATATAACCATCACTCACCTGTACAATTATAGGTATGTATACATATTAGATGGTACATATAACCAGTACTCACCTGTACAATCGTAGATACGCATGCATACATATTATATGGTACATATAACCAGCACTCACCTGTACAATCGTAGATACGCACGCATACATATTATATGGTACATATAACCAGCACTCACCTGTACAATGGTAGGTATGTATACATATTATATGGTACATATAACCAGCACTCACCTGTAGAATGGTAGGTATGTATACATATGATATGGTACATATAACCAGCACTCACCTGTAGAATGGTAGGTATGTATACATATTATATGGTACATATAACCAGCACTCACCTGTAGAATGGTAGGTATGTATACATATGATATGGTACATATAACCAGCACTCACCTGTAGAATGGTAGGTATGTATACATATTATATGGTACATATAACCAGCACTCACCTGTAGAATGGTAGGTATGTATACATATGATATGGTACATATAACCAGCACTCACCTGTAGAATGGTAGGTATGTATACATATTATATGGTACATATAACCAGCACTCACCTGTAGAATGGTAGGTATGTATACATATGATATGGTACATATAACCAGCACTCACCTGTAGAATGGTAGGTATGTATACATATTATATGGTACATATAACCAGCACTCACCTGTAGAATGGTAGGTATGTATACATATGATATGGTACATATAACCAGCACTCACCTGTAGAATGGTAGGTATGTATACATATTATATGGTACATATAACCAGCACTCACCTGTAGAATGGTAGGTATGTATACATATTATATGGTACATATAACCAGCACTCACCTGTAGAATGGTAGGTATGTATACATATTATATGGTACATATAACCAGCACTCACCTGTAGAATGGTAGGTATGTATACATATTATATGGTACATATAACCAGCACTCACCTGTAGAATGGTAGGTATGTATACATATGATATGGTACATATAACCAGCACTCACATGTACAATGGTTGGTATGTATACATATTATATGGTACATATAACCAGTACTCACCTGTACAATCGTAGATATGTATACATATTATATGGTACATATAAACAGCACTCACCTGTACAATCGGAGATACGCATGCATACATATTATATGGTACATATAACCAGCACTCACCTGTACAATCGTAGGTACGCATGCATACATATTATATGGTACATATAACCAGCACTCACCTGTACAATCGTAGGTACGTATGCATACATATTATATGATACATATAACCAGCACACACCTGTACAATCGTTGGTATGTATACATAGTATATGGTACATATAATCAGCACTCACATGTACAATCGTAGATACGCATGCATACATATTATATGGTACATATAACCAGCAAACACCTGTACAATCGTAGGTACGTATGCATACATATTATATGATACATATAACCAGCACTCACCTGTACAATGGTAGGTATGTATACATATTATAGGGTACATATAACCAGCACTCACCTGTACAATCGAAGGTATGTATAACTATTATATGGTACATATAACCAGCACTCACCTGTATAATTGTATGTATGTATACATATTAGATGGTACATATAACCAGTACTCACCTGTACAATCGAATGTATGTGTAAATACTATAGGGTACATATAACCAGCCCTCACCTGTACAATCGTAGGTATGTATACATATTATATGGTACATATAACCAACACTCACCTGTACAATCGTAGGTATGTATACATATTATATGTTACATATAACCAGCACTCACCTGTATAATTGTATGTATGTATACATATTAGATGGTACATATAACCAGCACTCACCTGTACAATCGTAGGTATGTATACATATTATATGTTACATATAACCAGTACTCACCTGTACAATCGTAGGTATGTACACATATTATATGTTACATATAACCAACACTCACCTGTACAATCGTAGGAATGTACACATATTATATGGTACATATAACCAGCACTCACCTGTACAATCGTAGGTACGTATACATACATATTATATGATACATATAACCAACACACACCTGTACAATCGTAGTATGTATACATAGTATATGGTACATATAACCAGCACTCACATGTACAATCGTAGATACGAATGCATACATATTATATGGTACATATAACCAGCAAACACCTGTACAATCGTAGATACGCATGCATACATATTATATGATACATATAACCAGCACACACCTGTCAAATCATAGGTATGCATACATATGATATGGTACATATAACCAGCACTCACCTGTATAATGGTAGGTATGTATACATATTATAGGGTACATATAACCATCACTCACCTGTACAATCGAAGGTATGTATACATATTATATGTTACATATAACCAGTACTCACCTGTACAATCGTAGTTATGTACACATATTATATGTTACATATAACCAGTACTCACCTGTACAATCGTAGATACACATGCATACATACTATATGGTACATATAACCAGCACTCACCTGTACAATCGAAGGTATGTATAACTATTATATGGTACATATAACCAGCACTCACCTGTACAATAGTAGGTATGTATACATATTATATGGTACATATAACCAGTACTCACCTGTACAATCGAATGTATGTGTAAATACTATAGGGTACATATAACCAGCACTCACCTGTACAATCGTAGGTATGTATACATATTATATGTTACATATAACCAGTACTCACCTGTACAATCGTAGGTATGTACACATATTATATGTTACATATAACCAGTACTCACCTGTACAATCGTAGATACACATGCATACATACTATATGGTACATATAACCAGCACTCACCTGTACAATCGTAGGTATGTATACATATTATATGGTACATATAACCAGTACTCACCTGTACAATCGTAGGTATGTACACATATTATATGTTACATATAACCAGTACTCACCTGTACAATCGTAGATACACATGCATACATACTATATGGTACATATAACCAGCACTCACCTGTACAATCGTAGGTATGTATACATATTATATGGTACATATAACCAGTACTCACCTGTACAATCGAATGTATGTGTAAATACTATAGGGTACATATAACCAGCACTCACCTGTACAATCGTAGGTATGTATACATATTATATGGTACATATAACCAGTACTCACCTGTACAATCGTAGGTATGTATACATATTATATGTTACATATAACCAGCACTCACCTGTACAATCGTAGGTATGTATACATATTATATGTTACATATAACCAGCACTCACCTGTACAATCGTAGGTATGTATACATATTATATGTTACATATAACCAGCACTCACCTGTACAATCGTAGGTATGTATACATATTATATGTTACATATAACCAGCACTCACCTGTACAATCGTAGGTATGTATACATATTATATGTTACATATAACCAGCACTCACCTGTACAATCGTAGGTATGTATACATATTATATGTTACATATAACCAGCACTCACCTGTACAATCGTAGGTATGTATACATATTATATGTTACATATAACCAGCACTCACCTGTACAATCGTAGGTATGTATACATATTATATGTTACATATAACCAGCACTCACCTGTACAATCGTAGGTATGTATACATATTATATGTTACATATAACCAGCACTCACCTGTACAATCGTAGGTATGTATACATATTATATGTTACATATAACCAGCACTCACCTGTACAATCGTAGGTATGTATACATATTATATGTTACATATAACCAGCACTCACCTGTACAATCGTAGGTATGTATACATATTATATGTTACATATAACCAGCACTCACCTGTACAATCGTAGGTATGTATACATATTATATGTTACATATAACCAGCACTCACCTGTACAATCGTAGGTATGTATACATATTATATGTTACATATAACCAGCACTCACCTGTACAATCGTAGGTATGTATACATATTATATGTTACATATAACCAGCACTCACCTGTACAATCGTAGGTATGTATACATATTATATGTTACATATAACCAGCACTCACCTGTACAATCGTAGGTATGTATACATATTATATGTTACATATAACCAGCACTCACCTGTACAATCGTAGGTATGTATACATATTATATGTTACATATAACCAGCACTCACCTGTACAATCGTAGGTATGTATACATATTATATGTTACATATAACCAGCACTCACCTGTACAATCGTAGGTATGTATACATATTATATGTTACATATAACCAGCACTCACCTGTACAATCGTAGGTATGTATACATATTATATGTTACATATAACCAGCACTCACCTGTACAATCGTAGGTATGTATACATATTATATGGTACATATAACCAGCACTCACCTGTACAATCGTAGGTATGTATACATATTATATGTTACATATAACCAGTACTCACCTGTACAATCGTAGGTATGTACACATATTATATGTTACATATAACCAACACTCACCTGTACAATCGTAGGAATGCATACATATTATATGGTACATATAACCAGCAC